CTCACCATGTAGGGGTGGGGACGGGCCGAGGTGGGGGCGGAGCTGCGGGGAAGGGGGTGGGGCATCAGCATAGGGAGTGGGGCCCCTCACCCTGTAGGAGCCAGGGGCGGGGCTCCTCAGCATGTAGGGGGCGGGGCAAAAAGTGGGGTGGGCTGCAGGGCGGGGCTCCTCACTGAGCAGGGGCAGGGGAGGGGCGGAGGTGGGCTGGGCTGCAGGGCGGGGCTCCTCAGCATGTAGGGGGCGGGGCTTCAGGGCGGGGCTTCTTACCATGTAGGGGGCGGGGCGGAGCTCCTCGCCACGTAGGGGGAAGGGGCGGGGCGGAGGTGGGGCAGGGGTCCTCACTATGTATGGGTGGAAGTGGGGCGGGGCTGCAGGGCGGGGCCCCTCACCCTGTAGGAGCCAGGGGCGGGGCTCCTCACCATGTCGGGGGCGGGGCAAAAGGTGGGACGGGGCTTCAGGGCGGGGCTCCTCACTGTGTAGGGGCAGGGGAGGGGCGGAGGTGGGTCGGGCCGCAGGGCGGGGCTCCTCACCATGTAGGGGGCGGGGGCGGGGTGGAGCGGGGCTGCAGGGCGGGGCTCCTCACCATGTAGTAGCCGGGTAACAGCTTCTGCAGGAACTCGGCCTCCTTGTGCATCACCGTCTTGATGATGAACTCGTCGTCACTGGTGACGTAGAACAGGGAGCCGCTGGCGCCGGGGTTGGACAGCTCGATCAGTGGCTCGTTGCACAGCGAGTACTGGGGGGGCAGTGAGTGGGCAGGTGGGTCGCTGACACCCCACACGCCCAGCGTCTAGCGGACAGCTCTGGAACAGGTCACTGTCAGCCTCCTTTCACAGATGAAGAAATATGCTCAGAGAGGGAAACTGACATGCCTGAGGCCACACAGCAAGGACTGAACCCCGGGCTAATCTGCAGCGTGGGTGCCGATCTCCTAGGGCACGGTCCCTCTCCCGTTAGTAACAGACACCCAGTCGTGCTGGGTTGTGCACCCATCTGGCCAAGACTCACTGCCCAACCTTCCCCGCAGCTAGGTGAGGCCACAACAGTCAACTCTGGTCAACGAGCCTGTAGAAGCTTCTGAATCCCTAATCAGGTGACAAACGCTGGTGCCCCTCCCTCCTTCCCATCCATTTCCCACGTGGAAAGCTGATGTGACAGCTGGAACCCCAGCAGCCATGCTGGACCACAAGACAACCTTTGGTACGGATGCCACGCACAAGAACAGCTGAGAGGGGAGCCTGTGTCCCTGGCGAGCAACCCCAACCACGGCCCCCAGCACACCCTTCTCTTCCCCATCTTCTCTTCCATGGACATCGGCTTTCTTCCGTGCTTGCTGTCCATCAGCCCCACACGCCCTCCCCACCAACAAACAGTAAACTCTGTGGACCCAGGGATTTTTAAGCATTTTTCTCATGGAGGGTCCCCAGCACCCATGACAGAGCCCAGCATACAGCAGGTGCCTGGTCTGTTAAGAAGCCAAGGAAAGTGAGGCCCTGCGGGCTGCTGCCCCTAGGCCTTTTCAGCTAATGAGCCATTGAGGTGTTTTTCGGGATTAAGGCTGTTTGGGTTGGGTTTCTGTGCCCTGCACCCCCGAAGTCCTGACTGAGTGTCGCTGGTATATGACAGGGACGAGGCCACAGCAGGCCCCCCACCCCGGGCCACAGGGTAAACGCCGAGGGAACACTTACTGCATCGCTGGGTGTAAGGACCCTAACCCGATGCCCCAGCAGTCAGCACGCCCTGGCTGGACAAAGACCCTGGGAAGATCGGGCGCCCCCACCCGCTGCCTGGCCACGGCCGAGCCCAGGACGAGCCGTGGTCCAGCAAGCTGTGGTGCTGTGCAAACTCCGCGCTGCGGCCCGGTGTCCCAGGCACCGGGCGGTTAGTCGGGGGCCGGCTGTGGGTGGGACGGGCACACACCAGAGGCATGACCCCCCCAGGGACCACAGGCGCCACCCTGGAAGAAAGAGGGGTTTGAGGCCACAGCTGTTGCCCCTACACCTGCGACCTAGTGCTGACCACAAGGACGACAGCGCCACCTCTAACTGCTAGTGCGCTCGTGCTGTCAGGTAACCTGGGGGGGGGGGGTGGGGGCGAGAGGTCTCCCCTGTCCGTGCCTCAGGGGAGTGGAGCCAACAGCCAGGCCACTCAGGGGGAATGTGCTGGCAGTCCCCAACGTGGTGACCGGCTCCAAAACGGGCACCAGGCTGGAGCAGGGCTGACGCAAGCCTGTTAATAAGACAGGACGTGCGGATGCCCGGAAGCCGGGCCAGGACAGGCTGCCTGGGCCATCTGGACTGTGGGGGCGACGGTGCGGGAAGCCGCGTGGGGGCCCGGCCCAGGGCTGTCGGCGGAGGGGAGCCGAGTCAGTGGGCCTCCCAGCTGTGCTGGCCGCAGACAGCAAGGAGGCAGCTCAGGGAGGCGGTGGGTTGTGCAGGGGGAGAACAGGTCCAGTTTGCAGCCAACACGGCCCTCTGTCCGTCCTGCTCCGCCCACAGCCACGAGGCCCCCGCACCCTCGGAGACAGAGGCCCAGGCCCAGGCTGCCCGTGCTCTCCCTCCTCACCCCCACCTCCCCCCACCCTGCCCTGGAAGGACAGCAGCGAGGGGCGTCCTGGGCCTCGGGAGCCCGCCGGGAACAGGGAAACCCCAAGGCCTCACAGCTGGCCCCAGCTGGCAGGAGAGGAGGAGAGATGAGCGCCGAAGGGGACTGCGCGGCTTTGCACAAAGAAGTCTGTGAGCAGAGAACGGTCTGGAAGCAATGCCGCAGCCGCTGCCCTCGGGGAGCGGCCCGGGGGGCAGCGTACAGGGCTCAGGCCTCACGGGGTCCTGGCTGCAGAGGAGGCAGCGGTGACACAGGCAGACTTCCCAGCCAAGAGACCACCGGCCACCGGGACAGGGTCACGGGCAGACGACCCCAGGCGTGCCCCCTCTCCCCTCAGTGCCCAGGGTGGGCGCCCGTGGCCCGAGGCTGACCGTCTGCAGCCCCTGCCCCCGCACGTGTCCCCCCGCCTCCCCCGGCCGCTGCCCTGCTGTCCTGAGCCGAAGTCAACACCGGGTCAGCCCAGGGCTCTCACAGTGATGGTGGGCGAGCCCCCACAAAACTCAGGACCATGGCGGCCGCCACAGAAATCTCTGGAGCCGAGGTGATGCCCACGGCCCACAGGGACTCGGCGGGAAGAGAGAGGAACCGAGGGACCAGAGCTGATAAATGGGGGCAGTGATGCTGTCTGGGTGCACCATCCAGCCGTGTCCGAGCTCCCCATCCCCGCCGCGGGAGGGCCTCTCGGATCCAGGGGCCCTGGCCACCCTGTCGCTGCAAACAGGGCAGGTCTTGAAGAGGACAGAGGACACCTGCTGAGCACCCACTCAAGGCCGAGACAGGCCCTCGGCCGTCGCCCTGTGTCCACTCCGCCGCCAGGACCAGCTTGGGTCCGCTCCCCACCAGCACACAGAGGCCGCATCACCACTGCCACGGCGAGCGCCACAGGTGTCCCCTTTCACTCCCGAGACCTAAAACCGAGGTCACCCAGGTCATCTCTACTACGGAACCACCAGGCTGGCTTCACTCCGAGGAGGCTGCGGGACCAAAGGGAACGTCGTTACGGGGCTGCGGTGGAGGCCGGAGGGGGAGCACGACACGGATGCTGTGGTCAGAGGACCAGGCCTTGGCCTTGGCAAGGGGCACTGTGACTTCTGGGCGCCTGGACGTGCCCACGGCCGGAGCAAATGCTGCTCTGTCTGCAGGGACACGGCCACGGCTGAGGGCACAGCTTTCCCGCAGACTAAGAACCCAGGGGAGAGTGAGGCCAAGTACCTCCCGACACGCAGGGAGACGAGTCACTGCAGGTGAGAGCCAGCAGGCCCACAGGCCGAGCCCCAGGGACAGCAGACGGTGGAAGGATTACACAGAGTATATCCAACGGTCACGGACACACTCTTGCCCAGGGAGTAAGGCTTCCCGAACACAGAGTCGCAAACCGGTGACCGGGCGAACTCGAAACAGACCCGCCAGACCTTCCCCAAGTGCAGACTGACCCACCCAGGTGACGAGCCCCGTGTGCAGGCGAGCTGTAACTTTCAGGAGTCCTGATCGTTCACTGTGAGATCAAAGGGTAGGGCCTAGATTCTGATTTTTCTAAATGTTTATTTATTTGTTTTGAGAGAGAGAGACAGAGAGAGACAGAGAGCAGTGCAGGGGCAGAGAGAGAGGGAAAGAGAGAGGATCCCAAGCAGACTCAGTGCACTCAAGCATGGAGCCCGACATGGGGCTCGAACCCATGAACCATGAGATCGTGACCTGAGCCGAGATCAAGAGTCGACGCTTAACCAACTGAACCCCCCAGACGCTCCAAGATTATTCTAATTTGAGAGACTAAAACCACACCAGAACTGAGGGGACGTTCTGAACTGGTCCCCACGACCCACCTCCTCCCGAAGGGAGGCTTGACATGTGACGCGCCTCTAACCCACAGACGTGGCAAAGGGGACAGGACACTCCTGTCGCTCACGCTCTGACCCAGAGGCCCGCAGGGATGGAACGGAAGCCCCAGCCGATGGGCGAGGAGGGGGTCCCGCCAATGTCACCGTGGAGCTGGAAGCAGACCCTCCCCCAGTCCGGTGCCCCACGAGGCTCTAGCCCCAGCCCACCCTCCAGCGCAACCCTGAGCAAAGAACCCGGCTGAGTTGCACCCGAAGTCCTGACCCACAGAAACCACAAGGGACAGACAGGTGGCGCTGTGGGCCGCCGGTCTGCCACAGCTTGTTACGCAGCAGCAGCTGACTGACGCTCTTACCAAGTAATCATCCGGTCGGATCCCGAAGAGTTCCCGGAAGTAGCGGAAGGCGACAGGTGCGTAGGTCTTGAACCTGAAGTCCTGGAAGTGGTGGGCAGGGGTGAGGTTGCTGCCTTCACTGTGGAGCAAGGAGGGAGGGGGCCTGTGAGGGACGCCGGCCTTGTGGGTGCCTCCCCGACTCCCCGGTGGCTCAGACGTCCCAGGCCTGGGCGGTGCCCTGGCCGCTGAGCTCCGAGGCCTTCTCCAGACGGCCAACTCAGACGGTGGCATGGGACTCCCCAGGGGACAGAGGGCTATGTCCCAACATCCGTTCCCAGTGCTGGCTGGGCACACGGCCGCCCGGAGGAAGCCCACTGCCCAGCCTCTCCTGCAGCTAGCTCTGGTCATGTGACCGTGATCGGCCAATGGGCTATGAGCAGAGCAGAAACCATCATTTCTTGGTGCTGCCCTGCCTGGGGAGGGGCATGTGCTCTCTTCCTTCTGCTAGTGGAATGCAGACGTGATGGCAGGATCTCGGGCAGCTACCTGAAACCCCTGGCTGCAAAAGCTGCACACAAGGACGGTGGAACGGCCAGAAAAACACGGGACCCCAACACCGGGGAGCTGCCTGATGGCCCTGGATTGCCTGTCACTATTTTCCGTGTGAGAGAAAAGTGAAGTTTATGTTTTCTTCTCCTGTTTCTTAAAATCACTGTTGTACTGCAGCCCTCTGATTCGGCAGCAAACTAACATCACGACCGGTACAGGGTGAGGCCTCAAAGCCAAGAAGGTGCCGGGAGAGGCCCGTTGCTATTTCCAGCAGAGAAGGGAGCTCCGAGAACAGCAAGGCTGTTTGCATCCCAACAGTGTCTGCGTGCTGGGTGAGCTGCTACGGGCATCGGGGCCAGTCTCCATGGCGCAGGGCCCGGGCCCACCTGGGGAAGAAGATGCTCTCCACGACGTAGAAGTCCTGCATGAGCACGTCACGCTCTGGCTTGGAGCTCAGGTTGCCCACGGTGTAGCCGATGCCCAGCTGGATGGCCCCCTTCAGGGTGGAGGACGTGGTCTGTGGGGAAACCCAGCTGGATCAAGACCCTCGGCCGCCAGGGCGGGGAGGCAAAACGAGAAGCCCCTCGGGGCAGCAGGACGAGCCAGATGTCCAGCTCGCAGCTTGACCCTGGCACCCATCACGCACGGGGCCCCGGGGTACCCGCCCACCACTTGTCCCAGACCCGCTGGCCTCTGGGCTGTCGTTCAGCTCACACAACCCCACGGCAAGGTGGCCTGGCTGGGACTCCAATATCACCTCACGCAGCCCCGAGGCCTGTTTTCCATCAAGGTTCTAGAAGGTTCCAAGTTCTCAAAACTGTCCCGATTCGGCAGGGTTCTATCTACTGCCAGGATTTCCTTTTTGGAAATCCATTTACAGAGTGACATCCCAACTTCATCTCCGTGAACCCGGGTCCCTGCTACCTACTCTCCCAGTGACGTGCACGGTCACGCCGCGTGAGCGACACCGCCGCTCCGTGCCTCGGTTTCCCCAGCCACGGTGGGGCACGTCGGGGCCGCCCAGCATTACGTTGCCCAGGCTGCCTGGGCTGGAGGCCGCCCACACTTGAGGAGGAGGGGGTGGGGGTGACAGCTCAGCCCCGCTTTCCAAGGGAAGGAAGCAGAACCGCATTTCTCCTTTTCTGGATGAGCCAGCAGGGCCGGAGCAGCTGAGGGCTCGCCCAGGGTCGCAGGCGGCTCCTGTAGCCGGGCGGGTGGTGGTGCAGCTGCGGGCGCATCGCCCGATGCTTGTGATGGCGACAGCAGGCAAGGGCCTCGCTGGGACGGAGGGGCCCGCACCGAGGGGATCTGCCCGCAGCCACACGTGGGCACAGAGCCCGCCCGGCCCTGTGTGGGGGCCCCGGATGGCTGGGAGCCCTTCTCCACTTTGCCCCACCCCAACCAGCCGAGGGCAGAGGAGGAACCTTCTTGTAGGTGGTTTCGCCAGATGCGTCCACGCCCCGATGACCCAACTTCTTCCCGTGGCCGGGGCCCAGCTGTCCAGTCATCGACGGGGCCTGGAGAGGAGGAAGCAGGAAGCATTAAACATCAGCAAGGAGGCGCCGCTGGGGCCAGAGTGCTCTGGAAATCCTGACCAGAGTCAGGGCTGAGTCACTGGCTGGCAAGCCACGTGGGGCAGAGTCTGGTGTGGGCGGGATCCAGGGCAGAGCAGGTGCCCCGTCACCCACTGGGGCCACACGGTCCAACTCTGCACATCCAGAGGGGCCCAGGCCCAGACCGGACTTCCGGTTCCTCAGGAGCAGAACCCTAACTTCAGGGACTCCCTGGGCCTGCTGACGGGGGCGGGGGGGAGGGCTGGGTCGTCCCCTATGGGGCGTCCCATGCGCTGTGAGCAGTGAGAAGCCTCACTGCGTCCTGACAGCCACAGACGTCTCCAGACATCACACAGCGTCCCTTAGGGCCGAGACATGTGGGCTGGAATGCCTGTGAAACAGGGAGAGGTCCCACTGGCCCGGGACCTGTGTGGGGACAGCCAGGGCAGGCGTGACAAATTTGTGTGGGAGCCACCAGCGCTGATGTGCGGCTCCACAGGGGAGAATGGTGGAGGGGCGGCGGGGGCTGTCCGCTCACGGACATTTAAGAAACATCTACTGTGTACCTGCACCATCCAAACAGCCCGTGAAACCCTCTGGCCTCCAGCCGGGAGCACTCACATCAGCCCAACCCCCACTGCCCCACGGGGGTTCAGGCAGCCCCCCAGCTGCCCTGGCTCCTCAGCAGGCCCCGGAGTGTTCCGCATACTGGCCACCAGGGGGCGGGCTCTCCCCAGAAATCGGTGGCACCGCCCCCGCTCCGCACCCCTCGCTGACTCCCCGCTGCCTCCAGGAGAGCCCTCCTGACAAGGGCCCCACGTGACGGGTGGCAACCCGGGGGACACAGGTGCCCGGGGCCAGGAAGCTAGCGCCGGTACAGGGACGCCACGCCTGGGCTGCTCCTGGAATGCGGGGCTCACAGACTCGCTCCCACAGGCCGCTTTCAGGACCAGGGACAGTGCTGACCCCCCCCCCCCCCCCCCCCGCGGACCGAAGACGTGGGCGGGCGTGTGGGGACAACGGATGCTACACCAGCGGTGCCGCATCTGACTGGACCCCCCTCCTCCTGGGGGCTCCTCAGGGACCCGCCCTTGCCCGGCTCCCCTCCCACCCCTCTGGACCCTCAGTCTCCGTCCCTCTGTCCCTCGCTGTCCAGGCCGGGTCCTCGCTCTTCCTTCCCCAGCGGCTCCCCTCCCTGAAACTCAAGATGCCGGCAGGACCGAGGGACTTGCACTGCCTGCCACCTGCCAGAGCGTGGGGCCCGGGGAGGTGCGGCCAGCTGCCCCAGGCCGCACAGCAGGCCCCGGGGCTGGTCGGTCTTCGGAGAAGTGGGTCAGGAAGGCCACAGGACACTCACCTCCGACGGGGCCATCTTCTTCTGGGCCAAGCCTGCAGGAGAGAAGAGAGAGGCTTCAGCCCGGAGACGGGGGCGGCCCTCCACCCCACCGTGTCACCACCCCGCCTTCCCCGCACACAGGTGTCTCCGACCTCACTCTGCTCCCTGCACCCCTACGGAGGGACGACAGTACCCTGGCTGGGAAACGGGCGCGGACGTCAACCCACCACTGACCCCAAAGACGTTAAGTCCCTGGCAGCAAAGAAAGGGCTGACCAAACTGACAACTGTGGCCTTCCCCTGCCGGCGGAAGCAGGGCTCAACCAGATCCAACGTCCTCGGGCCACAGAGAAATCACGTGACCGGCTGGGTCGGTGGGAAGGGGCCAGGCGGCCAGGGCTGGAGTGACGGCTCCCTGGCCCCTGTTCACACTGTCCCCGGGAAAGAGGTGCTCACCGTGGAGAGAGGCTCACGGTGAGGGAGCAGGCAGTTTTTATCCCTAACACCCTGCCCTCCAATCCTGGCTCCCTGTGGGGAGGCCAACCACTGACCTCTCTGAGCCCTGGCGTCCTCACCTGCAAAGCAGGCTTCTGCTGAGGATTATCTGTTCAAACGAGTATGGACCGCAGACATACCCCTGCCTCCTGCAGACGGGGCGGGCTTTGCAGGTGGGAGGAAGCCAAGGCTGGTGAGGTCTGAGGTCGGGGAGACCCGGGGTCCCTGGGCCCAGCGTCCCCACGAGATCCTCATGAGAGGGAGGCAGAGAGACGGGCAGACCCCATGCTGCTGGCTGGGTGGGGGGGGGGGGGGGGAGGTCCGGGGTACACCCCCGCCGGACCAGAGC